CGTCAGAGTCGCATTCATCTATGGGGATGCCCAGACCATTAGGGTTGTGCAAGTGGCCAGAGATGCGGTGCCTATTTTCCCATTTGCGATACGGTGAGTCAAAAATGCTAAAGGTGGTACCCATTGTCGTACGCACCATCCCCATGCAGCACCTACCCACCCCGCCTCACCCACCATAAGCCATTTACCTAGCCAAAGAAAAGTAGCGAAGGGAAACAATAAAGGAATATCGCCTCTTTTGCATACACGGGACGTCAGATATCCTATGTACAAAGCGCTCATCGGGACGGCTCTACATTCGTTTGGCAATCACATCGCAGCAGCCCCATTCCACCAGACTGGTCCAGTTGACGAAGTTTTCTTGGCCACGCTCTACACACCAAAGTCTCCATTGTGTCGGAATGGCGGAGAGCAAATGTCGGTTGAGGTGACCAATGCGCTGAGCAAACGTCAGCAGACAATCCATCCTGCCCGATCTATCCCTCATCTCATCAACTACGACTGCAATTATTAACAGTTGACTTGGGGTAAGAGAGAGTAATGTGATAGTTAAATCCCGCATCGAAAATCGTAAAGGGTCAGCCACATAAAGTAAACAGTCACAGGTGTCTGATTCAGTCTCTTCTCGAACCGCTATAATGCGATGCGGGAATTCGAGATCTCCGAGGTTAGTGCTGCATTTACACACGACAATGCGGCGAGTAACGTCGTGGCTAACACACACTGAATAGGTGGTCGTTGGCGACTCGACAAGCTCTGGTCTTTTAAGCTGCACTGTCAGCTCGTGCGGTGGTAACCATCGCAGAGTGGTGTTAGCGAAAATCCAAAAGTGTACGGGATTTTGAAGTAGATGCTGGGGTGCTTCGGATAGGGTGCGTTGGAAGGATTCAATTTGTCTTTGGCGATACTGAATGACTTCGGTGGCGCATTGTACTGAAGTTCTCCAGGACTGTGGCAAAAGTAGGCACCAGAGACGTTCATCAATCCAGTCCCACTGTTGGATGTGATTACGAAGGCGGGCGAAAAAAAACGGGTGTGAGAGGATCGGTCCCCAACGTGGAATGGTAGCGCAGCAGTTTATCAAGCTGACAGCATCGAGGTATTCGCATATGTTAAATGCCACCAGCATTGGAAGATTGGTGATGTGAGCCTAGGTTAGCAGAGGGATACACGGTTATGCGTAAAGTAAGAATGAAGCAAGAGAAATGCGTTAAAAAGGAGAGGGCAGAGAAGGCAAAATAAGGAATAAGGAGGTAGGAATAAAATGGCAGCAAGGCGAGCCAGACGTCGACTCCCAATACCTACCATGTGTGAAAGGTCCGACGGTGATTAGTGACATGTCAAATTCGCTGAGGTTTAAATACGGCATGGCTTAAAGGGGAGTCGCGACTGACCTCACCGTGATATCAACTCATTCATTCGCTCTGTATGGTCTTGTCTCAAATTCATGTTTTGCTATGCTCATCCGATTTCACTCAGTCCGCCAAATGGAAAGCGATTCAATAGCACGGCTCGGCGTAGCAAACAACCGCGTGCACTAAGGAATGGCGATGACAACGGTCTCGATGCCATTGATTTGATGCATGAGAAGGACATGCTCTGGGCTCACCGTGCATGCTTGCAACCGCTACTTCATACATTCATCCGATGCAACAACTGACTGAGTGGAGGATCAAGAGCTTCAACACAGCTTGCAGAGAAACTGACCACACACAATGCGAATGGCCTCCATCGCCTTTCACCACGTGCGATTATTTGGCAGATGCGACAACTTTAAAAGCTAAGCCATGTGCAAAGCTTTAAGCACACTGCCTCACTTCTTTTCAACCTTTTGCCCAACATTAAATAAACTTGTTCCGAATTGTCAAAGTAGCACTGCTGCCTGTTCAAAATTCATGAACACAAACGCGCTTGCTAGACGTGGTCACTCAGGGCCCCGATTCGGGCTCAATGTAACAGTCCTCATGTAATCCTCCCCCGACCTATCGCTGAGGCGATTCTAACACATCACAGATGTTCGAGTCTGATTTAGCGTGACCCTTTAATTTAGCACTTCATATTTT